GGCTGATTTCCGATGTCAATTTGCAGCTAGGTTATGGCGTGGAAGGAAAACAACCAATATTTAGTTTTTTTACTTTACAATTTTAGGGGTCTTTAATTTTTGTGAAACTCTTTGTAATGGTTTTTGTGCTTTGTAATGTATTTTTTGGGGAAACACTTTAGCTTTACATTTTTTGGAAGCTTTGTAATGGGGCTTTTATAATCATGAATTTCTACTTGTTAATGCAAATTTTGTTATTGTGTCTGCTGAGGGCAGACCCCGTCAAAATTTTATGGAGGATATTTTCGGTCCAGCAATAAAAATATGACATTGGATATTATTGGAAGAATAAATGAATTTGGACTGAAAAAAAGTTAGAATGTCCGAGAAGGCAACAGCGAAGTAAAGTATTACTCATTCTAAAATAATGTACTATTCATTTTGAAATAATGAAATACTCATTTTCACACATTTGTTCAATATAATTATAATATTTATTTATGAATAACGTAGTATTTATTCCTAAATATAGTGGTGCTCACTCTCAAATACAGTGCTCATTCTTAAGTAAGTAAAGTGCAATTCAATCCTTTTACAATTGAAGAATATAGAGTAATTAATTATCATCATCTTCACCATTTGCATTGCATATGGGCAGATCAACCACGCGTCTCAGTTAGGTTTCTTGCATTCGCCTCCACCATCCACGCGGACATAGTGCTAACTCGAATTCGCCAGATCCATAAGGGTAGGGCAGCCCAATTCGGGTTGCTTCCTCCGATCAGATTTCTTCTCCCCAATCCTCATCATCATCTTCATCTCCCACGATCTCTAATTACTCTGTACTCCTTTGTTTTCTAATTGGAGCACTTGTCTTCTGTTAATTTTCGCCGGCTGTACGGTTCTTCGGTTCTTCCCGTACAGCCGACTGTACGATATAATTTGCGGCAAATTATTGCATGATCTAAGATTTATAGTGTCTATGGTGAACCTTCCTATATGTGCAATAAACTTTGACTTTCCTCCGTCCTAAAATTAATTTCCCATTTTGACTTTCACAGTCAAAGTTTTTAAACTTTGACTGTATATTACGGAAAAAGTATATTGAATTTGTATATAAATTTAGTATGAATAGATTCATTTTGAAACATAGTTTTGAAATATATTATTTTGATAATATACATTTATATAAAAATTGAGATATTAATGGTCAAAGTGATGCATTGGAGACCGTGAAAAGTCAAATGAGAAGTTAATTTTAGGACGGAGGGAGTACTACTTCTTTTGTTTTTGAGTATTCGTTTACTTTTGATTTATTCCAATCAAAATTGGTAAATTTTGACTTCAAACTAAATAAAAATGATAATAGATATTAATACAAAAATAGTTCTGTTATACTTATTATACAAAATATTTTTAAAATATTATTTTATCTAATTAATATACAATATACATTTCATATACATCTTTCAAAAAACGTGTAAAACCACCTCTTTTAAAATAATTAAGGCCTCGTTCCCTTCAACTTATTTTTTTTATTTTTTCTTATTCTTACTAAAACCAGATCAGATCAGATTCCATCAAGAAATATTATTATTATTGTTATTATTATTGTTATTATTATTCTTGTTGTTGTTATAATTATTATTATTGTTATTCTTAAAAATGAAAAAAAATAAACTTTAGAAACAAGTTAAATAGAAAACTGAGAAAGTAATACTTAATTACTAGACGTCGGAAAATATATTTTTAAAATACATTGACAATGTCAATCTAATTATACCTTTAAAATATATATTTTTTGCTACCTGTAATTTGAGTTTCTAAAGTTTTGATCTTTTATAAGGATGAGATATTTTAATCAAAATACTATCTCTTCTATATATTGATTATCTAAATTTAATTAATTTTTAATGTATATATAAATTAAATATTTATTCCAATGTATATATGATTATTAAAATATAAAATTAATATTCTAATTTCAAAAAAAAATAATCATAAAATAAAAAATATTATTACATTATAATATGAATGATTATTCTAAGACATGAATTAACTAATTTTATTTTATTAAAAAATGAATCATAAAATAAAAAATATTGATTATATTATAATATGAAGTATCATTACAAATTTAAAACGTTATTATAAAGTCAAATCAAATTATTGATTTGAATTTTAAATCAAATCATAATTAATCAGATCAGATTCAATCAGGTCAGACCAGATCAGATCAGATCCAATCATATCAGATCGAATCAGATGAGATCAGATCAAGTCAGATCAGAACTACAAAAAATTAGATCTGATCAGTAAAAATAAGTTGAACGGAACGGACATGTGCGTTGCACGACAAATAATTTCTTCCAAAATATTAAAATGATATTTTCTTAAAATAAATCTCTCAATATACACTAGTAACAAACTCTATGAATGAATCTAGCACACAATCACAATATTAGAAATACTTTTGTGGTTCGTATAATTTATCTCATCTAATTTTCATGTCAAGTCAAAGATGTTTTTTTGTTTTGGATGAATGAAATAAGTTATTCCAAAGATGTATTTCAAAATTAATGTATTGATATTTTTTCCTTTCGGTGTACTCATCTAATTTGAGTTTTTTAATTCAAACAAGGCAAAGTTTGGACTACCTCAATTACCCTCTATTTGTATTACATATTAATACAAAATAATAAAACTTGGAAAGTTCTTAACAAGATAGACCTAATGATATTATTGTTATACTAAAATAAATTGGAATTTTTTAAATAGAAATTCAAAGTTTGTCTAGTTTTATTCAAAAAAATTAAATGAGCCAAATCCACTAAATCAAAGTAGTATTCAATCTCCATCATCTCCGATGTAGCAAAAATTCACTATTTTTTTGTTTTAGGGTGTGGTGGAGTAAATAAAATAAATCTCTAAATTGTTTGCACTTCTAGAATTAATGAAGTAGTAGTTAGTCAATCAATGCAACTTTTGACATTGAGCTGAGAGTTTACTTGGAAATAACCCCTCTATTTTCGAGTAGAGGTATGATCTGCGTACAACGCACTCTCCAGACCTTAATCTTGTAGGATTCAACTCGGTTATTATTGTTGTTGTTAAAAGGAGTATTCAATTTTTATCATACTTAATTAGTACTCCGTATATATTCTCTCGAGGGAAATTCTGAAATGATTCTTTCTAATAATGTATTTTCCCAAATTATTCCTTAATAAACAATAATTACCAACGTGGTTCTTCGTAATTGAGATGTATTATTTAAATAGTCCTCTGTAAAAAAATGCATATTAAAGGTCAGTTAAATGGAGAGTATTTTTGTATTTTCCAACATCTAAACTATGAATAAGTGCTCATAGTGGTTCATTTCAATTAAAAGAGTGACTGCTAGAGGAATTGACTCATCGCGAGTAGGCTCATGGACTCTGCTTCGAAAAAACATTTACTTAGAAATTATTAGTTTTAAAAATAATTAATTACAAAGAACTATATCGAAAACATACATAAAGTCTAGATGATAGAAATACCAAAATACCTTTTATTTGACTGTTATTTAACATACATTTTCTACATAGGATTATTTAGGGAATGAAACACTACAAAAAACTACTGAAATAACAACAAAAATGTTCCATCGCAAAAGGTTGATTTCCGTAGGTAATATTCTTAACGACAGAAAAAACGACGGTTTTAATTCCGTCGTTATTTTTTCGTTAGTGATGGTGTAAATTATCGACCGGTATACCGTTTTAGCCCGGCTAAAACGATAAACTAGTCTAAAAATACACCAAAATTTAAACACGGGGATTTTGACGTGGAAACCCAAATCGGGAGAAAACCACGGGCCTTTTTTGGCGGTACCTTGCCAACGGGGGATTTTTATTAATATCGGGGGTGTGTACACGATACATGAAATGGGCTCGGAAGCCATTAATGGTGGAGCTACAAGCTGTTGAAGAAGAAGGAAAAATATACTCTGAAGACTTTCTAGAAAGAGAAACTAGTTTGGGCAGAGAAGGAGTGATATTTTTCCTCCTCAACAATTAGGGCAACCCTCCCTTTTATAGGAGAAGGTGAGAGCATCTCTACGAAGGAATATTCTCTTATTCCTCTATTTTATTAAACAGGCCCGGTTTAACTGTTCTTCGTAAATAATTGGGAAATGTGGGNAAACCCAAATCGGGAGAAAACCACGGGCCTTTTTTGGCGGTACCTTGCCAACGGGGGATTTTTATTAATATCGGGGGTGTGTACACGATACATGAAATGGGCTCGGAAGCCATTAATGGTGGAGCTACAAGCTGTTGAAGAAGAAGGAAAAATATACTCTGAAGACTTTCTAGAAAGAGAAACTAGTTTGGGCAGAGAAGGAGTGATATTTTTCCTCCTCAACAATTAGGGCAACCCTCCCTTTTATAGGAGAAGGTGAGAGCATCTCTACGAAGGAATATTCTCTTATTCCTCTATTTTATTAAACAGGCCCGGTTTAACTGTTCTTCGTAAATAATTGGGAAATGTGGGCCGAGCCACGTATTATTTCACATCAAGAAGTCCTCCACTTTTTTGAGTTGTGAGAATCATCAACTTAAAAAAGTAAACAAGTCCTCCGAGTGTGATCTTCAGTTTTCGTACTTTGAATTCTTGACCGATTGATATTTTTGCTAGTCCTCCGAGTCTTCATTAGTTCTCCAATTTTAGAAGGTTTTCCTGCAAAAATAATATGTACAACATTTTTTTTTTGACCGGCCTATGCCGTGCTCAAATAATTTTATTATCTTTACCGAAGAGCTCGGTGTTAGGGCGATTAAACTCCGCGTGAATAATTATCGTAACAAGAGCGATGTCAGTTCGATTAAGCAACGATGCTTCGAGTAGTTATACGACGCCAGAGTTAGTACGATGAAGCGTCGGTGCTTCAAGTAGTTATTTCGTCGAGACCGATGTTAGTACGAATTAAGTAAGCGATACATGATGAAATTAGTATACAAACGACATTGACGTTAGTTAATAAGAATTGAATCCGATGCGGTAGCTTTGTTGAAGATCAGTGTTAGCCCGGCTACTGTAAATATCTCCATGTCTCACGGAGATCATCTTCAATCAAAGTGCCTCAGATGGAGGAGGGCTTAAATGAATCGGGCGTCCCCGATGTGAGCTTTGCTCACTTTTTGCTGAAACCAATGCGCAATCGGTGTACCCAATTCGATTGGGCTCAGGCTTATTAGAAAATATGTGTAAGACCGGTGTGAGACCAGTGTACCAGTTCGACTGGGTCACATATTTTCTTTATTATACTGAGCAAGCCCGGTGTAGTAACCAGCGTGCCAGGCCAGGCCTGTGTCTCAGTCTTCCAATATGATAATGCTGCTGGCCGGGCCAGATCAACATTGGAGAATTAACCATGTCGGATGGTTTCGAGCCCTCTCCAAGGCCCAAAATGCACCTTTCTTCCAGGGCCCCCTCTTCCGGGTGATTAAGTCTTTTAATGGCCCTTTGATATCTACCATCCCGGGAAGGCCTTAGCTCACCCCCGTTCAAGTCTTCCCTGAGAAGGGGGAAATAGGATGCGCCACGGTGGACGATCCATTTTCTATTTCTTTTCATGGGCATCTTTTAGTCCCCAATCAGTTTGCCAGTCTCGGCTGATTCCCCGATACCGGTCAAACCTCATGGGCCCGTGTAAGTACGGTTCGAACCTTCTTCGAGGTCCAGCCCTCTTGCAGGCATACCCTTTTCCGGGGCCCTCTTCCGGGTTTATTATTTTTTTATTTTATACTGAGCAAGACCGGTATAGTAACCGCCGTGCCAGGTCCGGACCTGTGTCCTAGTCTTCCATCAAGATTAGTCGAAGAAACAATGCCAATCCAGCGACTTGATAGGGGAAAGATTCCCTTATCTCCACCTCGTCCTTTTCTCCTTTGTAGCAAGTGCACCATGATTTGAGGGGACCACTATAACCCACTTTCCTCCACGCCTGCCACATGCCTTCAATCACTTAGCTTCCATACTTTTTTGTTTTCTTCTCTTTGCATACTTTCGTACAGAGTAATCGAAATATGCCCAATGATGGGCCCTACCTTGTTGATACATCCAAAGCACCCCACTTTATAAAAAAGGGTGATGAATGCATGTGACACCACATATGCACCTTCCCTCTTTCGGCTTTTTGTCCCTGGATGTGAGATGAACAAGATGGGCAGACAGCATCTTGCCAAAGTGGAGACCGGTTTTGGGGTCGACAATCCCATCGTTGGGCTGGAAGAGCAATCTGAGGAACGCCTACTTCGAAATAGCTTTGTACGTGAAATAATTGATCAGAAACGGCGACCCGATCGATGCACTTGATCAGATTTGGCCAGAATGAGCCGGCGGCCGGCGGATACGAGGTCTCGAGCACGGCCAGCGAACGCGCAGTGGTGACTTTGACTTTGGCGTCCAGGCCGAGATTCACGATGGCAGTGTGGATTCTCTGCATCGCTGGGAGCAGATTGCTGGAGAGGGAGGTGTCCTTGAGAGTGAGGACTTCATTTCTGACGGCAACGCAGGCGACTCTGGTCACTGGTAAGTACACCTCCACGTTCCTAAGCAGCGGCAGCAGCCTTTTGAGTTAGTAGGCTGACTTTGGCTACAGTAGACTTCGGCAGCACCACCGATGACCACCGGCCACTGGCGTGCAGGCGATGACGACAAATCTAATGGAGGCGGTGGTGATAGACTTCGTCGGCAGAAGCAATCTGCTTGCTCCTCTTCAACAGTGGTGATAGACTTCGACGGCAGAAGCGATCTGCTTACTCCTCTTCAACGGTGGTGATAGACTTCGTTGGCAGAACCGAGAGCGATCTTCTTGCTCTCGGTTAGAGTAATGGCTAACTTTGGTGCGGGCAAAAGCGAATTACCCCCGATAGTGTGATTGTCTTCTTCCTCCTCTTCGACGGTGGCGGCGGGAGTGGAGAATTGAGGCCCTGGTGATGCTGACCTCAGCCGCAACATCAACGACAGCGGACGCCAAGATGGCGGCGGTCAAAAACTCTCGTGGCTGACTCCAGCCTCCTCTTGTCTTTACAGTTGCCGCAAAACAAATCCCATTCTCAATGGGTCAATAGTTTGGCTATTTTGTAAACAAAGCCTCGCCTCCATGTTTTTTTCTTCTTTATTTTTGCACGAATTGAGATTTTAAACTTCCCCTACCTCTCTTCTTTTGTAGCATTTTTGCAGTAAGGAAAAGATGAACATGGCTATTTGTTCAGGTCCCACGGTCGGCGCCAAAATGATGGTGTAAATTATCGACCGGTATACCGTTTTAGCCCGGCTAAAACGATAAACTAGTCTAAAAATACACCAAAATTTAAACACGGGGATTTTGACGTGGAAACCCAAATCGGGAGAAAACCACGGGCCTTTTTTTGGCGGTACCTTGCCAACGGGGGATTTTTATTAATATCGGGGGTGTGTACACGATACATGAAATGGGCTCGGAAGCCATTAATGGTGGAGCTACAAGCTGTTGAAGAAGAAGGAAAAATATACTCTGAAGACTTTCTAGAAAGAGAAACTAGTTTGGGCAGAGAAGGAGTGATATTTTTCCTCCTCAACAATTAGGGCAACCCTCCCTTTTATAGGAGAAGGTGAGAGCATCTCTACGAAGGAATATTCTCTTATTCCTCTATTTTATTAAACAGGCCCGGTTTAACCGTTCTTCGTAAATAATTGGGAAATGTGGGCCGAGCCACGTATTATTTCCCATCAGTTAGTAATAAATGTAACGACAGATTATTGATTCCGTCGCTAGGCTACGACTGAAAACGCAAACGGAATTTGCTCCATATAGAAGGTAGTATGTTTCCTTAAATAAGACCAAATACGATTTATTGCCTTTATAGCACATATTTTCGAATGATCTGTAATATATACCCTAATTAGTAACGAGTGTTGGATAGTGACTAATTATACAAATGACTCTATTAATATAATCATTAGCAACAAGTGTTGGATAATGACTAATTATTTCAATAATTATTCAAATTGTTTGTTAATAATATATTATTCTACTTGAATTGTGTAAACGTTGCAGTAGACTTTACAAACAACATCATAAATAATATTAATAGAATAAATTATAGAAAAATGCTAGGGGTACACCTTTTGGTGTACCCCATTTGTCCCCCACCCCCTCCATTACTATAAAAATTGGCAAGAATTTTAAAAAAAATTAAATAAATAAAAAGTAGAATTATTTGTTGGAAATAAACAAAAATTGACAAGGTGAATTTAAAAAAACAAATAACCTTTTTCAAAATTCACTCTATTTTTCTCATACGGAATAGTTTATGTTGGAAATTCTTTAAAAGTAACATATGGAGAGTAAGAGCATCTCCAATGGAGAGTGTAAAAAATTAAAAGCTAAAAGTCAGTTTACCTCTTCCAGAGTGTTTTAGCTTCCAATTTTTTTATCACTACTCCAACCATGACATCTATATTATACATTATTATTATTATTTCATTATTATAAACTTTTATTTTATCAAAAATTAAAACTTTTATTTTGTCAAAAATTTCTTCTAGCTCTCCATTGCTCAAGAATTTGGAAGTCATTTGAAGAAACAATGGCAAATATGCAGAAATCACATGAACGAAAATGTGCAAAAAAGTTACCGATGGATAGAAACTTTTTTAGCGAAAAAGAACAACAAAAAAGCAAAAATAATATCCGCAAGAACAGAATCAGAAAACAACTTGGGGAAAAGCAAGAAAAACCTCGTTATTGGAATCAGCAGAAAAAATTTGCAATCCATAGTTGCAATTACGGGTAAAGAATTGCTCAATCGAAGATGCTTCATACCTCTAGAAAATTTTTGCAGGAAAGAGATGCACTTGATCCGATCTTTGTCTCTTAGGGTTGGCCTCCGAAAAGCATCGGGGAAGACAGCAAAGGGGATGAGCAGGGATGAAACAAATAGAGAAAAGAAAATAAAATGGAATACACTATCTACAGTATCGTGTATTTATGAAAGACGAGAATAGGAAAATAGACTGTGGTCTATTTTAAAGAAGATCCGTTGGAGACTGAATTTATGCACAGTACCAGCTATATCTTTCTTTTTATACACTTTACTAAATTTTAAATGATGCGTTGGATTTGCTCTAAGTGTTCTCCTTTTTGACTATCAAACTTCAAAGTATTATTACTGCTGGTGATATTCATAAATTGGACCTGTTTTCAAGAATGCATAGCCATGGCCTGGGCAGCGAAAGAGATCCGCTCTTGAACAGACACGTAAGTTTATACACACACACACACACAAATAACCACAGGAGTGCATATCAGATTCTATTTCTCGTTTTTTGTATGTGAATTGTATAAGAATTTGAAGAGTTTGCACTTATAATCTTATGGAAGGTATGTTTTATCGGATTGAAAGACAATCTTGCCTGTTTGTACCATGTATCATTTCTTTCGTGTATTTGTGCAGTTAATTTTTGTGCTTGACTTGTGTTTGATTATTTGATTCTTTGGTATTTTGTCTGTTTTGATATGTGATGTCTTAAAGTGGAAATTATAGTGTCATGGTTAACTAGATTAATATCTTGTTCTAAAGGGAGGAAGAAAAAGAGATGGTTCAACTGAGAATGGGCAGCTCACTGATCTCGAGCAAGGGGGTGAAGTGCCGGTAATTCGAAGTTTCCTCTGGACTTCCTGTTTTAGTGTTATGTGTATATGACCATCATAATGCGTAAGTTGCTAACTTCGTGTCAAAATTCAGGCACCAAATGTGGGATTTTGTCGTGTCCTTTCACTTGTAAGTAATTTGGATTGTTCTACTTGTGAAAGAGTTCTGTTATCAAGGTTAACTCTGTTATGCCAAGCTTTTAATCTTGTTGTTAAAAGGCTAAACCTGAAGCATGGAAGTTGACCCTTGCAACGATAGCACTCTTGATTGCATCAACATCTAGCATTTTGATAGTAAGTAGTTCTGAGAAGGAATGCCTCTGTCCACCCTCTAAAGAACTGCAATTCAGAGTTTTCATTCAAATGAAATGATTTTTTTTTGTAGCCAAAATTTGGGGGAACCATTATCGATATTGTTTCAAGGGATATCCATACAGACGAACAGAGAGCTGAAGCTATAGGAGCTGTCAAAGGCACTATTCTAGAAATATTTTTGATTGTGATAGTTGGGTATGTCTTACAAATTGATTGAAATTGATACACATCTAAAAAATTATTTTTCACTTTAGTTCCTCCGGTTTGAGCCTGCAAAACTCTAGAAGAGACATGCCCATAGTTGTTGTTTTGAGGGTTTATTTAAACCACTTAGCCACTTAGGGTACGCTTGAATTGAGGATTTTGGAAGGATATAGAGAGATTTTGGAGGGCATAGTATATATCTCGAGTCTTGACCAATAAAATGTTATTTAAACACATATAAAGGGTGTTTGAAAAGTTATATTATCACTTATTATGCTATTTTTTTATAATAAATAAAAGTAATTGCTCTTTAGTCTTTACTTAAATTCTGAGCTCATGATAAATAGAGTGGTTCATCTTAGACCATGTCATCAACAGGTCCACTTTGAATAATATTGAACTAAAGGAGTTAACGACAATTTGCTTCTTTCAGTTCAATCTGCACAGCACTTCGCGCATGGCTGTTCTCTTCTTCTAGTGAAAGGGTTGTTGCTCGCTTGAGAAGGAACTTATTCAGCCACCTCATTAATCAAGTAATGACTTCTTTTCCTGCATTGATACTAGTATCACTTCTCTCTCAGATATGGCTTGATTGGAAAATGTTCATTCAAGGAATTTATTATGTAGGAGATAGCCTTCTTTGATGTGACTCGCACTGGGGAGCTCCTTAGTAGGCTCTCTGAAGACACTCAGATCATAAAAAGTGCAGCAACAACTAACCTTTCAGAGGCTCTCAGGAATCTTTCTACTGCATTTATTGGCCTTGGTTTCATGTTTACAACTTCATGGAAATTAACATGTAATTATGGCTTTGGATTCTTCAAAGCATTAGCATAGTTTGTTTTCCGCTCTGTTAAAAATACTACTCCCTCCGTCCCAAATTGGATTACAATTTCCCATTTACGAGGGAAAACCCCACATTTTTTAAAATCAATTTATTTAATAATTGGTGTAAGAATAATTAATAAGATTTACATATTAAAAAACTACGCTGAAAGTTCTACTAAACAAGATGCCACAAGAATATTTTATTTTATAAAATAATCAATGAAAGTACACAAACAAACAAAAAATATTGAGAGGTAGGTCCCAAAAAAAATTGTAATTCAGTTTCGGATGGAGGGAGTATATATTCATGTTCTCTTTTCTTTGGTTCAGTGCTGGCTTTAGTAGTTGTTCCAGCTATATCAGTCGGTGTACGCCAATTTGGCCGCTATATGCGTGAACTTTCCCATAAGACTCAAGCTGCTGCTGCTGCGGCTTCATCAATTGCTGAGGTCTGTTGTTCCACTGATATTGGTTGAATTACATCTGAATTCAGAATTAAGGCTGCACCGCTCCCCATAATTTATCAACAGGCGCCAGCTTTTCTGTTTTATTGGATTTTCTAGTTAGCCATAGAACACAAATAAAATTTTAATCATCACATACTCCCTCTGTCCCTCAAAGAACTTTACCTTTTTCTTTTGCATACATCACAAAATGATTTACGCTTCTCACATTTTGTTTTAGGGAAAAGAATATTTGGCTCACAACATTTTCTCATCTCTACAAATCCCAAGAACACACTTTTTACTTTTCAAGACTTTTCATGAAATCCATGAAATTAAAGTGTCAATTTTATTGACTTTTTTTAAACACCAAGAAATTAGAGTGTCGATTTCTTTTGGGGAGAAGGGAACTATATGTTAGATAGTTAAGTGTAGAAATTTTTTTATGCTGAACTTTAAAGTGTTTCCCTTTTAGTCATTTTACAAGCCATTAGCAATAATTGTCAGTTGTCACTATAAGTCAATACCAAATTTTTTCCTAGTGGAGTTAATAAAATTTAGTGGCTGTTTGTGTGTAGGAAACTTTTGGGGCGATACGCACAGTAAGGTCATTTGCACAAGAAGATTATGAGATATCACGGTACACATTGAAAGTGGGAGACACATTGAACCTTGGACTTAGTCAGGCTGTAAGTTCCTCCATGTTACAGTTAAACTTCACCCCTTGCCCACAATGGGGAATAGTGAATTTCCAAAATATGAATGTAGCCACTATTTTAAAGAGAAATCTGTAGTAATTGGCAGGGTGCTGAGAATCACATCCGTTTATTGATGTTTTCCTATGCAGAGAGTGGTAGGTCTTTTCTCTGGAAGCTTAAATGCAGCTTCAACTCTATCAGTTATTATTGTAGTACTTTACGGAGCTACTTTAACAATTAATGGCTCAATGACAGCTGGATCTCTGACATCATTTATTCTTTATAGTTTAACTGGTAAGTGAAACTTGGTACTTTCTCCCCCTACGGACTTTTCTCATCTTTCCTTTTTTGTCCATCCAGAATGTTTTCCCTTTCTTTTTAAGAAGAAGAAAAAAATTATGTTGACCATATTTTCTCTTCTTTTTAA